GCATTAACCTATGCTACAACTCTTGCTTTAAAGGATCAACAACCTACATTTGGAATCCAAAAAGCACAGTGTCAAGCCAGGTTAGCAGCGGCTAAAACACCTGATGAGTATAAAAGAATTTGCCAGGAAATTTTCCAGCAGCTTTCCACAGGTTCAGATTCTCCAATAAAACCCTCATCAAGCAAACCGCCAGCAGTCTCTTCAGATAAATCGTCATCCAAACCCAGTCTTAAAGGCAAAGCCAAATGGGCAGACATGGCGTCCTCATCTTCGTCAATATCATCATCTTCCCTTGTTTCAAGTAAAGATAGCAATGATGATATTCTTCAATCAATAATAGTAAAAAGTAAAACTGACAAAAAAGAAAAAAAAAGAAAAAAGGAAAAGCCAAAGTTAAAACAAAAAAAGCAAAGTGAAAAAGAAAAGAAAAGAAAAAGAAGGACACTTTCGTCCTATCTGATTAAAAAGCACCAGAAGGAACCTTATCTCCTTCACGTGTCTCTACAGTAAAAAGGCAAGGCTCCAATGGCCGACCAAAGCCCACTATTTTCCTACAGTAAATTCTGTGGTAAATTAGAGTAATGTGCATTCAACAGTAAAAGATTAAATAAGTCTACAGGAAAGAAGATTTCTTTGGTTTTTTTCATTTATAAGGGAGCCTCATCCCCTTGCTGAGGCATAAGTTTAGTTTATTCTTTGTTTTTTCTTTATAAAGGGAGCCTCTCCCCTTGTGAAGGCATAAGTTTAGTTTTTAGTTAAATTAACCATAATCCCTCTCTCCTTCTTCGCTCCCAGTTCAAGCTGTAAGCGTTCAAGTTGGAGAAAGTCTATATACACACACACGCACCCATATACATATAGGCCTGGAATCTTCTTCCACTCATAAGCTCTAAGCCAATCTGAATTCATGAGAAAATCAAATTGTTATGTCGCCTTGTACTTACTACTAAGCCAATGTTTCTACATCCTAAGTACTTGGTCTCAAAATTTAAAGATTATCCTGCTTCGAAATGCTTGCTTTATGATTTTGGTGATAAGAGGGAACCTTTTTGCTTAATGGAGAGATTATGATGAAACATCTAAAAATGGAAGCTATGTGAATTGTGTGACGTTATATCAATCTATAATTTTTTTTATTATGCTTTACTATATTAAATTATGGAGGAATCATATGGATTTTAGAAAATGGAGCAGGATGTTATATAAATTTTTATTCCCATTTTGTATTTGAACAAGTTTTATGTTAGTTCTAGTCTTTGGGATAGTTGCTGGTCTTTAGCAGATTTTTAGTGATTCAGTTAGCTCCTATTTTATTGTTATTTTCTCGTTGTAACTTGGTTATTTAAACAAGTCATATGCTGTTAAATAAAACAGAACATTCATTTCAATTTTGCTTTCATCTATCTTGTTTTTCTCTATTTACTATCTTGTATCAAGTGCATCAGTGGTATCAGAGCCTGGTTAATTGAGTTAAACACGTGAGGTCTGAGAAAAACACATGAGGGAGTGAATTTGAGAGTTTGCAGTAGCAAATATATATATGTGTGTGTGTGTGTGTGTGTGTGTGTGTGTGTGTGTATCATGGCTGTAGAAAATTTTGTGTAACCAGCGATTCCTCACTTTGATGGACATTATGATCATTAGAGCATGCTGATGGAAAATTTTCTTAGATGAAAAAAGTTTTGGCAAGTGGTTTCTAAGGGCATTTCAAAACTAGCGCCAGGCAGAGCAATGTCAGATGCACAAAAAATAGAGATACATGCAGTAAAATTGAAGGACCTCAAGGCGAAGAATTACCTTTTCCAAGCAATTGATCGTTCAATACCATTCTATCTAAGGATACTTCTAAGCAGATATGGGACTCCATAAAGAAAAAGTGATGGCGTGGTGAAGGGCTAAGGTGGCTGGTGTTGAAGATTAAGTTGAAAAAGATGGATGATTTTTTCTGGAAACAAACAAAACTCAATAGTTTTTGGAAACTAATAAAACCCAAATGTGATTAACACCTTCTTTTCTTATTCAAAGTATGATTCTTCTTTTCAAAGTACACAAAGATACCCTTTAAATAGGGAAACAAGAGACATAATGGCCATAAAACCTTATGTCAGTTACAAAACAGACATAAACTCTATTTAAACCCAATAACGTAACATTTAAAGACACAATTAAGGTTTGAAACAGCTATTGCTCAATCTGAAAAGGTGCTCCAACAAATTATGGGCTCAAATGGGTTGAAATTCATAGTCTATGAGCAACCAAGTGGACTTTGATTGTTGTCTTCAAAGATGATGGCTTGAAAAAACCAAAATGGCCTCAAAAGGAGTTGTAGTTTCAGATTGAACGTGCCACCCCCACTAAGCCCATCTTCGCTTGGGGTGTCTTCATCATCTTCACTAATAGAGTCAAGATCAAGGCCCATGTCGAGGACAGCTTGTAAGGCTAAGCTAGATGGACCTCCATTATTCTCCCCTTCTTGAAAAGTTTCTACTTGGGTAGAAGTTGACATGGTGTCTTCCTTGTATTTCGCTAAGTTACTTACATTGAAGGTGTTGGAAATATTGTAAGTTGGGGGTAGCTCAACTTTATAAGCATCCTGATTTACCTTCTTTATAACCTTGTAAGGACCCTCGGCCTTGGGCATAAGTTTATTCTTTCTTTTAGAAGGGAATCGTTCCTTCCTCAAGTGAACCCACACTAGGTCACCTTCTTTGAACTCCACAACAGGTTTCAGCTTGGCTTGCATCTTGTAGGCTTCATTCTTCTTCTCAATATGTGCTTTTGCTTTAGCATGGAGTTTGACAATTTCAGTAGCTCTGTCCTCGGCCTTTAAGTTAGAGGGAATATTAGAATGTGCTTTGCTCAAATCAAGAGGAACAAGTGGATTAGCTCCATAAACTAATTCAAAAGGAGTAAATTGTAGTCTTACTCTTTGAACTGTTCTAAGCAAATTCAGCATGAGCCAACAAAGAATCCCAATTCTTCACTTTCCCCTTCAGCAAACTTCTCAAAAAAATTGCCCAAGCTTCGATTGACCACTTCAGTTTGTCCATCTGTTTAAGGATGAAAGGTCGTACTAAATTTCAAGATAGTACCTAACCTTGCCCACAAATGTCTCCAAAAATGACTCAAAAACTTTACATCTCTATCACTCACTATACTCCTAGTTATTCCATGGAGTTTTACAACATTTTCAAAGTACAAATTCAAAACATGAGATGCATCAGTAGTTTTGTTGCAAGCAATAAATGAGCCAGTTTTTAGAACCTATCTACTACAACCATAATGGAATCATGATTTCGTCTTGTTCTTGGCAAGCCAATAAGGAAATCAATACTTACATCTTCCCATGGTGAGCTTGGAATCGGCAAAGGCATGTAGGTCTGTGAGCTTAAGTGGTCATCTTGGATTGTTTATAAGTATTACAGCCCTCAACGAGTCTTGAAACCTCTTTCCACATCTTTGGCCAATAGAAATTCTTACTTGCCAATCCATAGGTTTTGTCTCTTCCAAAGTGACCGGCTAGGCCTCCACTATGGACTTCCTTTAGAATTACTTCCTTTAAAGAGCTTTGAGGAACACAAACAGCATCAAGCTTGAAAAGTTAACCATCATAAATAGTGAAGCCCCTAAATGCACCATCTTTCCTAACTCTCTCCCAAATTTGACTGAAATCCCCATCACTCTTATACAAGGTCTTAATATCCTCAAATCCTATTACATGAGCATGAATGGTACTAAGAACCTCATATCTCCTAGACAATGCATCAGCCACCTTATTGCTTGGACCATCCCTATACTTCACTATAAAATCAAAGGATTGCATGTATTCAACCCAAGCTGCATGTCTCTTACTTAACTTAGCTTGACTTTGTATGTATTTGAGGGCTTGATGGTCAGTAAAGTCTCTTACTTAACTATAGCTTGACTTTGTATGTATTTGAGGGCTTTGATGGTCAGTAAATAAGAATGAAAGAGTTAGCCAACAAATATGCACTTCCAATGTCTTAGAGCACGAATCAAGCACAAAAACTCAAGATTCATAGGCAGAATATTTCTCCTTACACTAATTCAACTTTTCACTAAAAAATGCCAATAGGTTTGCCTTCTTGACTGATCATAGGCAGAATATTTTCTCCTACACTAATTCAACTTTTCACTAAAAAATGCAATAGGTTTGCCTTCTTGACTCAAAACAGCCCCTATCCCAACCCCACTAGCATCACACTCTAATTCAAAAGGTAAATTGAAATTAGGCAAGGCTAAAATAGGAGCTTTTGTCATTGCGTTCTTTAAAGTGTTAAAAGCAAGGGTGGCTTAAGATGTCCATTTAAACATCCCATTTTTCATGCAGTCTATTATAGAACTTGTTATAGTACTAAAACCTTTAATGAATCTCCGATAAAAATAACAAAACCCATATAAACTCCTTACTTGAAACAGATTATTTGGAATAGGCCAATCAACGATAGCCTTAACCTTTTCAGAATCCATACTTATCCGATCTTTAGATACAACATACCCCAAAAAACTAATGGTGCTATCACAAAAATGACATTTCTCTACATTAGCATACAATGATTCATGGTCCAAAACCTCAAAAATAAGTCTCAAATGCATATAATGCTCGTGTAAACTAGTACTAAAGATCAGAATATCATCAAAGTAATACCACCAGAAATTTGTTAAGGAAAGGTTTAAGTACCTCATTCATGAGCCGCATAAAGGTGGAAGGTGAATTAGAGAGTCCTATTGGCATGACCAACCATTCATACAGCCCCACATTAGTCTTGAAGGCTGTTTTCCACTCATCACCTATTAGTCTTGAAGGCTGTTTTCCACTCATCACCTTCTCTAACACGAATTTGGTAGAATCCATTTACAAGATCAATCCTTGAGAAAACTGAAGCTCCATGCAATCGGTCAAGCATGCCATCAAGCCTTGGAATAGTGTACTTGATCGTTATCTTGTTAATAGCCCTTGAATCTATCACCATTCTCCACTAGCCATTCTTTTTAAGAACAATAAAGGCTGGCACAACACAAGGAGAAACACTTTCCCTTATAAAGCCTCTCTTTAACAATTCATCAACTTGCTTTTGCAATTCATCACTCTCTTTAAGACTCATTCTATAGGAGTGTTTAAGAGGAATTTGAGCTTCCGGAACAAAACTGATCTCATATTGTATTATTCTTAGAGGGGGCAAACCAATAGGTAAAGTGTTTGGGAAAACTCTCTCAAACTCACTAATAAGAAATTGTACCTCATTTGGAATCACATGATTCTGTTTGGGCTTGCCCTCCACATCAATTGGAACATAGGTAGGCAGCCCTTCCATGATCTCACTCTTCTCATCATTGGATAAAAATCCAACCACCCCAACTTCTCTCTTCTTCTTTCGCTTCCTGAGCAGTAATAGTGTGAGCAAGATGGTATTACCCTCATGGAAAAAGGTGTAAGTATTGGCTTTCCCTTGGTGTTGCACATCCTCATCATACAAGAAAGGCCTCCCAAGGAGCAAGTGCCAAGCTATCATTGGGATAACATGGCAGCTCACCTCATCTATGTTTTGCCCAATTGCAAAAGGAACTAGACACTTCTTAGTGACCTTGATTTCATGCTCAGAATTCAGCCATGCCAACCTGTAAGGGGTGTCAATTGGCTCGGTTTTCAGTCCCAACTTCGCAACCATTTCATTGGATACAACATTCGGATACAACATTCTCACATTGCACCACTATCAATAATAACTTCCACATAATTGTTTTTTGATCAAAACAGTCTGGGTGTGAAATAGGGATTTTCCGTCCTCCAATCCTCCTCACTCTTTTTCAATTATTCAAAATACGCATACCGCTAAACAACTCCCCATCTTCCATTGTGCTCACAAAACGCAGGGTTGCTCCCTCGTCAACATTCATTATTTTGAATAGAAAGCACAACAATTTTCTCTTCAAAATATAACACCGAGGAGGCATCTGGAGTGGAAGAAAAATCCTGGTGTAGTAATAACTTCACATAATTTGTTTTTTGTCAAACATCTGGTGTGAAATAGGGATTTCCTCCTCCAATCCTCCTCACTCTTTTCAATATTCAAAATACGCATCACCGCTAAACACTCCCCATCTTCCATTGTGTCACAAACGAGGGTTGCTCCCTCGTCAACATTCATATTTTGAATAGAAGCCCAACATTTTCTCTTCAAAATATAACACCAGAGGAGGCATGGAGTGGAAGAAAATCCTGTGTAGACCATTTCAGAATTTTTGGGTGTGTTGCCTATGCCCATATTCCCGATGAGAAAAGGAAGAAGCTAGATGATAAAGGAGAAAAATGCATTTTTCTTGGTGTTAGTGATCAATCTAAAGCTTATAAGTTATATAATCCTAACACCAAGAAAATTGTAAATAGCCGTGACGTTGTATTTGACGAAGAAGCAACTTGGCCTTGGAGTGAAAAAACTACTACAAAAGAAGTTTCAGCTTTATTAGATTTTGAGGAGGAAGTTAATGAGAATCAATCCCAGCAAATGCTTTCAAATGATTCTCCTAAAGATTCTCAACATGGAGTTCCCTACTTCTGAATGTTTACCAATAATGACAGCAATTGATGGATAATCTGGTGAACCAGCAGGTTCACGTTCTCATCGTGTTAGACATAGACCAGCATGGATGTCAGATTATAAGGTAACCGGTGTTGATCAATCTAAATGTCCTATCACTCACTTTGCTCTATTTTCAGATTGTGGTCCTATTACCTTTGAAAGTGCTGTCAAGGAGTCTAAATGGCGCAAGGCCATGGATGAAGAGATCGCTACAATTGAAAGAAATCAGACTTGGGAACTAACTGAGCTTCCAAATGGTGTCAAGACAATTGGAGTAAAGTGGGTGTATAAGACAAAACTCAAGGGAATGGTGAAGTAGACGAGTTTAAGGCACTCTTAGTAGCAAAAAGCTATAAGCAAGAGTTTGGAGTGGATTATACTGATGTGTTTGCACCAGTAGCACGCCATGACACAATTCGGTTGCTGATTGTAATTACAACTCAAAATTCATGGCCTATCCTTCAAATGGATGTGAAATCAACTTTCTTATATGGTGACTTAAAGGAACAGGTATTTGTTTATCAACCACCTGCTTATATTAAGAAAGGAAGTGAGCACAAAGTTTATAAATTAAAAAAAGGCCTTGTATGGATTAAAACAGACCCCACGTGCTTAGAATAGTAAAATTGAGGATCATTTCTTGAAAGATGGTTTAAACAAGTGTCTATATGAGTATACACTTTTTACCGAAATTTAACAGAGAAGATTCTTATTGGTTGTTTATATATTGATGACCTCATATTCACCGGAAATGATACTCTCATGTTTAATAATTTTAAGAAGTCGATGATGATTGATTTTGAGATGACTGATTTGGGCATGATGCATTATTTCCTTGGTATTGAGGTGGTCCAATCTGCTATTGAAATTTCAATTTGTCAAAAGAAGTATCTATGAGAGATTTTGAACAAGTTCTCAATGGAAGGATGCAATTATGTGGCTACACCAACAGAATTTGGAGTAAAGTTAAACAAGGATAAAGAAGGGAAGAAAGTTAACAACACACTCTACAAGCAGATTGTTGGTAGTTTAATGTATTTAACTACCACAAGACCTGATATTATGTTCTCTATAAGTCTGATCAGTAAATACATGGAGAATCCAATGAAGAAACATCTTTTTACTGCCAAGCAGATTCTCAGTTATTTGTAGGAAACTAGAGATTTTGGGTTGTTCTATAAGAAGAGTGCAAGGTCTAATTTAATTGGTTTCACAGATAGTGATTTTGCAGGTGACCAAGATGATAGGAAGAGTACTTCAGGTCATGTATTCATGTTGGGTTCGGCAGCAATATCTTGGTCATCAAAGAAGCAACCAATTGTTGCTTTATCAACAACAAAGGCAGAATTTGTTGCAGCAACCTCTTGTGCATGTCAAGCAATTGGTTAAAAAAAATTCTTGGCGAATAGCATTTCATACAGGAAGAAGCGATTGCAATTTACTGTGACAGCGGTTCTGCTATAAAACTCTCCCGAAATCCTATTTTACATGGTCGAAGTAAACACATAGATGTGAAGTATCATTATTTGCGTGATCTCAATAATAGAAAAGTGATTGATCTCATCTACTATAGGAGTGAAGACCAATTAGCTAATATATTTACAAAAGCCCTCAAATTGCCAACTTTTGTGAAATTGAGAAGATTACTTGGAGTTTGTCCAGTTTGAGAGAGGTCACATCTTTGTTTAAACTGACATAAGTTTAAGGGAGGGAATGTTAAATAAATTGTTATTCACGTTTTTTATTTGACCAAGTTTTATGTTAGTTATAGTCTTTGGGATAGTTGCTGGTCTTCAGTAGATTTTTAGTGATTCAGTTAGCTCCTATTTTATTGTTATTTTCCCGTTGTAACTTGGCTATTTAAACAAGTCATATGCTGTTAAATAAAACAGAACATTCATTTCAATTTTGCTTTCATCTATCTTGTTTTGCTCTATTTACTATCTTGTATCAGGTGCATCACAGGAAGGCATCCTGCATGCACATTCATTGATGGACTCAGATGGTTTCGTCTATGCTAAGAACGGGTGTAAAGCAAAGATCTTTTTTTTTTTTTTCATGAGAAGTGATACTTTCTTATTATCGCATTTATTTCTAGCGAACTCAAAATTTACAAGTACTTCATAGAAGTAAACGTTAAGAGCTAAACATTGAACTAAATGAAGCTCAGTGGGCAATAGCATTGTTTTTAAAATAGGTTGATGAGATTTAAGCAAGTGAAAAATTGGAATTATGATATATCCATCTTAAAATACTTAGAGGACGAGTTGTTAAGATTAGGAGAATAATAACGTGAATAGGCTTCAATTAGATAGTTGCAATTTAGCTTTAGATGGTGTCTGAAATCTGTTAAGATTTGACTTACAAAGGGCTCTGTATAATGGTCAATGGAAATAGTCTTTTCAAGCAATATTAACATGGACAAAAATTAACTTTGCTTTGATTCATCTCAAACTGTTTTAATGTGAGTCCAATTTGTTTGTAAATTCATAAGTCTGCACTTAGGTAATTGAGCATGTAGCAGATCCTGCTGAATTCTGCAAGTCTCTGGCAGCACTAAGTTGTCCTCGCGGAGCTACTGTGATTTCAACAATTAACTGTTCTATGAGGTCATATGCAACTGCCATTGTTGCAGCAAAGTACCTTCTCCATTGAGTATGATTGTTTTAGCTAATTTTGCATGTTTCTTTATTTCCTTGTGTGTGCCTGTAAACCATTTGCCTTAATACAGTTTGTACTTGGTCTTGCTTCATTATGCATATTCCCTAAGTGCTGAATAAATTCCTAAATAACTTACTATCTCTTCCGCTTATTTTTTGCGTTCAAATCCATTGTTATAACACGGAGAATTTAGTAGGAAATCTTTCAACATTCTAGGCTTCCAGCCAGAAGAAGATAAACCCGGATCATTGAGTGGTCTCTGGTTTACATTAAATTCAATCTTCTAATTTTGAAGATTCCCACTTTTTCCAAGTGTTGCCTTTTCCGACTGCTTAGAACTTATTTGTATTTCACATTAGGCTGTCATAAAATTTTCTGTAACTATTCAGTTCTGAGATCTGGTAGTGGTTAACCTTAGGACCACACAATGTACGATTTCAAAATGTATGGTTAAATGTTTATGCTGATTATAGTAGATGTCATGTAGCTTCCCAAAAGGCACCCATCAATGGTCGAGCTTCCTTACTCCTGAAGAGCTAGTATTGATCCTACAACGTGCTTCTATCGATGTAAGACAAATGTTTTCCTTTGTTGATTTCCTTTGGTCACTGCTGTACAGACTAATATTCACGTTTTGGTTCTGGGTTTTCCTTGCTCAGGTTAAAGAAATGGCCGGATTTGTTTACAACCCTTTGACTGGATGCTGGTCTCTTTCTGATGATATTAGTGTAAACTTTATTCCTTTTGGTACCAAAGGTTCTACACACCATTTGGTGTAACACTTTTTATTTCTTAGTTTGTAAAATTGATTTTGAATATGTGTTGAGATGAGGTTAAGGAGATTGCCTTATATTCTTGGAGATTAATATTATTAAGTCAAAGTTCAAAAGAATGAAGTTTAATTTTCCCTCTAAATTTGTAATTAAGAAAAAAAGAACGCAAACTCAACCTTTTTGCTCAATTTGGTCGCAAGTTGGGGGGACAAATTCAGTTAATCAAAATAGATCCTGAAGGCACTTTGGTTGAGAATTTTATAAATTAGATGATAAAGTAGGTCCAAGAGAGAAGAATACACTTTTGAAGTTCTGTTGTTCCATGGACATTGCAGTGTGTCCATTACACTGGTAAATTTGAAGCTAATAGGTTGTCAATTCAACTGGTAATCGTATGGGTGTCCAGTTTTCATGTTGGTCTTCTAGCAGAATATGTTTTTCTTCTTTCTTGCAGGGAGGAGAGAACGAAATAATATATGCTTTTGAAGAGACACTTTTTTCCATTTAGTTCGTAGTTGTTGAATTGAAGATGGTTCATATAACAAGAGTCTCCCCTCTTTTAGTTAGTTCTCATTATTTTTAGATTTCATGGGTTGTTTCTGCTTAAACCTTTATGTTAAATACATAAATATGCCCTTGAACCATATCCAGATGCTATCTGATTTCCTTCCCAAGGTACTACTTTGGCAGGTCGCTTGAAATCACATCCATGTGGATTCACAAATTTGAGCTTGTATAGCTTATCGCAAATTATAGGGAAAAGTTGTTTTAACTACTAAATTTCTATTTTCTGCTTCATTTGCCATTTTATGTTGGCTATTCGACATGTGTTTGCAGGTCCAAGAGGTTCTGCAAGGCACAGGGAAATAATCAGAACAGTATGTAATTTGGTTTCCTTTTCTAAAAATATGTGCATCTGCGACTCCTTTCTTCTTCTTCTTCTTCTTCTTTTACTTGCAACAACATTTCTCCCTCTTACTTGTTAGAATGAGTTTGGAAGGGGAACTGAAAGAGCTATAATCACACAGTTAGTGTTTATGAATGATCTCTTCAGGAGGAGTTGAGGTTGTAGCACAGAAAAAGTATCAGTTCCGGATGTACCAAATATATGTTATTTCTAAATGAACAAATTCTTATTGAACTTATTCCTTCCCATTTAATTCATTCCTGAGGTAATGAATGAATTAAATGATACTTTACCATTTTTCTATACAAAGACATTTAAATTTAGCTATCCCTCCGTTATATTTATACAGAGAAAGTCAAATTTTCTCTGGAATTAAGGAGGTGGTCTTTTTCTAGATTTCTTTTTAATTTACCCTTAAAAAGATATTGAAGTGGTTTCTAAATTTCAATAAAAATAGATAAATGATGAGAGAGAGGATATGTTGCTTAAGTAAGGTGTTTTATTTGTTTAGACTTCCAATAACAAATAAAAATGCGGGCTATTTTATTTCAACTGTTAAATAAAATTTCAATCTCAAATTTGGATTGAAATAAATTGGTGTGAAATTTAAAAGAAAGTTTGGAGCTAAAATTTTTAACCTCAAATTCTTTATTTTGCTTGTCCAAATTTTAAAGAAAGTTTGGTTCCTCGTCTTAGGAGGCATTTGTTATTTTAGACCGGAGCAAACACAAGGGCGGCTTTTTCAGGGTTGCGAATGAAGAGGAGAATGAGGGTGTGCAATGAAATTAAGGTTTAGGTTGTGTATCTCTCTCTTTAGCCATTTAATGGATTCATCAGAGTATATATAAATGGGCACAACTATTTTGATTTAAGCACTGTCGTTTGGAGAAAAATTTTCCTCCATTTGCGATTTATTAGAGTTGAGTATAAATCTCACTATACGTGCACTTAATTGTTAAACATAAGCTTTCTAGTCAAATTTAATTTATATGCATAATATGCTTGAAGTTCACATTTTCTTAATGTACGGTTTAGTCAGTTTTGGAACATTAAATGCTCAACTATAATAATGTCTATCACTTTTTTGAAATACTCCCAAAATCAATGTTAATCTATAAACCAAAACAAGGCCATATTATTTACTTTGGCATTAGTCCCAAAATTGCTATTTTAGAAAAATTTATCTATATAAATAAAACACGGAAAAAAAAATTGGTGCAACGAAATTAAATCAAAATTCAAGAATCTTTTATCAATTTTCCCAATCAATATTTCTAATGAAAGGATATTTAATAGTCGCAATATTTTAAAAAAACTGAATTGGAAATTTTGGAAAAGTTAAATTTAAATAGTGAAAAAACTAAATTATTATAAAAAATATTTCACGATAATACTTTTATTTTTTCTATAATACTTCTGTAGAATTATTTTCTATAAGAAGTTAAACTCCACCAAAGTGTCTTATGAGGTCAAGGATCACAATAGAGCATGCTAATTAAGACTTAGGAATACTGTATTGACGAACGGTATGTCGTTTGTGACAGCAAAGGACAAGTTTTATGCTTTCTTGTAAATCAAATGTAAGGCCGTTGGTCGTTAAAGCCATTTGCCATTGCTTGATACTAGAACAGAACAGTCAGCTGGTAACCATTCTCTGATTAAACCCTAAGTTTACCTTTTGGTTTGTCTCTCTGCTTTAAAGGTATGTGAATATTCTGTCATTTTAATTTTTTGATTACGAAATTGAAAACCCTAGCTTCCATTTCAACATTGCACAATCGATTTCGTTGAATAATTTGTTTTAGGGATTTCATTTTAATTATTATTGATTGAATGATGAATCTTTTACTGCATTTTAGGGATTCCATATGATATTGTAACACAGAGAATTTTTTTTTCCTTAAAAGATAATTCAATGTCAGACGGCTGAATTTACTTGGCTGCTTTTTTATATTTCTCCTCCTGCTTGCGTTCTTGCTCTTTTAGGTTTATCACGGTTGAACTCAATATTGCATAAGAGCTTGTGCTGTATTTATGTGGGGGCATCTTTTATGTTTTCATTAATTTTTCTTTCATGATTTGGATTTTCATTTTTCGAACAGCCAATCACAAATTTAAGGGTTTAGGATTTCCAAAAATTATAATTTGATTTCTGGTTATCTGTTAGTTCTAGAATTTCGTTGTAAAATAAATTCAGTTCCAGTTTCAATTCATTTTGTTATACTAAAATCACATGCATGATAGAGTTTGGTTTTTGTTTTTGATTTTGATTTTTCACATTCCAGTATATTTTAATTCCAGGTTTGTGATTTTTTCTCTTCTTTTTTGTTGATTATATTGATTGAATGGTGAATCTCTTAGTGCCTTTTGCCATCCTTAAAATACTGAAAGTTTTGGCACCTTTTTGATATAAAAAGCATATTATTTGGGGAAGAGAATCAGCCATGGTTCTCTCATTTGATTTGCAGGACTTTATTCTTCGTGCTCGAGTTTTGAAGTTATATAGACAAGCCCTCAGGACTGCGCGAAGAGCCCCTGATCATGCTAGAGGTGAAATTCTTATTCTATTTTATTTATAATCTGCTAAAGGAATCATTGCCATCAATGGACATTTTACTGAGCAACTAAGAGGGTTTCAAGTTTGATGAACCTTTGATTAATCTAGTTTATTCTTTTCTGATAATATTGGCTTTAGAACTCTCTCTCTTTTTTGATAGTTTTCGTTTAAGTTTAATTTTTCTTTTGTTCACAATTACCAAGAAATTTATCAGAGTTGCCATGAAAGTTAGTTGCTAGTATGATAGTGTGTTAGAGGGGAGAGAGTGACAGGGACAGGGAGGTGGGACATGAGACACTTATTATGTTCAAGCAACCAGGATCTCATACAGGCCGGTTAATAATAAAATCTGATTCAAAAGCTAAAGATTTTGTTTTTTAGCTTTATTCTTTCCTCAACCTATTGTTGCTAAAAGTTGCAAGCTTGGGAGCTCTCTAACCTTAGACTCATTAGAGATAGTCTACATCTCGATTTAATTGAAAATAATCCTACCTGTTTATTTTATTAAAATCTGCTCCTTAAATAGAGATTACATTGTTTAGTATCAACCTTTAAAATAGGAAGGCTTTTATTAAAATAAGAAGACTACTGAAACAAAACTTCTAAATAAAACTTCTAATCTAAAGAAACAGCTGTTATTAAGGCTGTATACTTCTTTCTGCTGTGTCCCACGTCTCACATACTTTTTGCCTATGAATGCACCTCTAACAACACTCCTCCAAGGAGGTACAGCTATTGGGCTAATACCTTGAAATTGCAAATGAATGAATGACTTCTGTCATTTGCTGACTCGGGGACTCAAGAACCACGCATGCCTTTTCTGACTGGGGGACTCAAGATAGATGGAGGAGTCAATGATCAACATTTGCTGGCTCTTTTAAGTTTAAATTCACCCTACATATATGTTTCTTTCTAGAAATGTTGTTCATTGACTCCTCCATCTGTCTTTGCAAAGTTTCTCATCACTGAGCTAATTACCATGGATGTCATTTCTATTAAGAACGCAAAGCTATATACACCAGAAGCTGCAGTGATGTGGCTCATTTCAATTGTTCTCCGAGCAAGACTGTTTTAGTTATCTGTCCTGAAGTTTAGGCATTACTCCATTTTTTTGAACTTGCACGCATATATGTTCTCCGTTTCTGGTGATAATAACTTGATTTTACTTGCTGCACTATAAGTTAGGTGATATTTCTGGTCCTAATGTTTACAATTTGGTCTGGGACTTACTTCTTTTCTCATTGGATTCGAACTATTAATCCCACTGCCTTGCCGTTGTTGTGTTGAAGTTGTCAACTGTGTACAGACAAACATCTAGAGTTATTTTGAGCAATCATAACATTTTGTCTATTGTAGTATCATGTGAATCATAATTATCTTGAAAAAGAAAAAATAAAACAAGTCTTCCTTTGTGAATGTTATAAAAAATGTTGTAGGCTTTGTAATATTTTGTTGGGCAAAAATTTATGGCAGCATCTAAAATTCAATGAATTTTACAGTTGATCTGAAACAGATAATTAGACAAGAAATGGAGAATAACAGGAATTGCAAGGACAAGCAGAGGGTTCGTTTTCTGATCAGTGAAGGATTAGAGAGATTAAAAGGTTTGGATGAGATGCTTGATATGCAGGGCAATGCTTAAGAGATAGAAATTGCAAATGGGATGTGCAATAATAACATACTTCATTTTTCCTCAATGTAATGTACTATTAGTGTATTGTAATTGAGAAAAAAAAAATTCTTCATTGCTTTTGTACCTGTCTTCAATGTTTTCTCTATTTAATGTAAGACCAAATGAATTTCAAATACCGGATAACTATATAGAAGAGATGGAAGATACAATTAAAAAAACAAGTTTCATCCAATTGCTTTGATGATTTTATTGCACACAATGTATTTTGTGATAGAAGAATATAAAAGCACGTGTGAAGGTACATCAGCATGCATTATGTCAAAACACTGTCTTTATTCTTAGACTATTTGGTGGCAGGTTGAAAAAGTTGGATCATTAAAAAAAGAAAAAAAAAATTGATAAGTGATTACTATATAATATGAGTATATCAAATTAGAAATATAAAGCATTGAAATTTTCTGTTTCTATATAATTTTTTTAAAGAAAATTAGCAATTCATTACTGAATGATATAATATGGGTACATCATAATATTTCTACAGAAATAAAATAAAATATAAATCGGAACAGTAAAATCTTTTGTAAGATTAATCATCTAGTAAAAACTGAGAAAGCAAATGAAATAAAATAAAATATAAATCAAAACATTAAAATGTTTTGTAAAATTAATCATCTAGTAAAAACAGAGATAGCAAATACCAATTAAGCTGCAGATACCAAATAAATAGAAAAATAGCTCGCACTACCATTTGTTATTGATACAAGAAACTTACCTAAATTTAAAGATTCATAGTTTGCAATCACAAGAAATCAAAAACAATAAAAAAAATTAAAAACATGCATAAATGCTCATCAACAATGAAGAATAACTCCGTGAAAGGAGATAAGTCAAAAATACCACTAAGAGGATGTCACAAACATTTAAAATCTATCAACTATGATGTACCATAGAAATTAAATTCAAAAGTTATTCCAAATGATCACAAATGGAAAATTTTTGAAAATAAAATTGAATAAAATAAAGAAAAATAGAAATGAGCAATCGCCAACCAAAGAAAACTGTCGGCGGCGACTCAAAGAACAAAATCTAAAAGAACAATTCCTAAATCTCTAAATTTTCAGAATTCAATTGAGTTAAAGGAGAAGAAAAATCTTATAAAAGCCTCTTTTTAGAAAAAGAGAACATCAAAGGAGAAAGAAAAATTGAATTTTTTGAGTCATAAATTAGAAAATAGGACTCCCCTATTTAAGATTATCTTTATTGTCTTCAACATTATAAAATATAAATAATGTTGTCTAATACTCAAGATAGTTTGATTCAGTAGTTGAAGTACACTAGATCTTACCATGGTGATTGCAGGATTGAGTAAGATAGCTTGATCTAGTAGTTGAAGTGCACTAGATCCTATCCTAGTGATTGCATGACTGAGTCATGAAGTCAGCATCCTGGGAAGAGTTTTTAAACATAATCGTTCCCCGGTCCGAAAGAGAAGGTTAATTAATAATGATTTATGCATCAAATATTGCGAATTATTCCTTTCCATTTTTTATCTTTCATTTTCTTACGAACAATTAAATTTTTACTCTTTTTTAAAACTCATCTAATAAAATCAATTACGCATCAATTAAGAAAATTTTGTTTATTCTATTTCAAATTTATAACAGATAAAATATAAACATATTTATATGGGTATTGAAATTCAATTAAAATCTAAAAATTTTTAGGAGCTTTAAAATTGAAAGGCCAAAAAAATAAAGCGCACAATTTTATAGCTTCCCTCGTCAAACATTAATTCTTTAATTTATGGCTTTTATGAATTTGGCTTTCATGAGTTTTAAGCATAAAATATGCTTTGAGGTGGCTTTATATTGTTGTTTCCTATATTAAAAATTACTTAAACTACAAAAATAACTTGAACTTTGCGACTTATTGCAAAATCACTCTATTTTGACTTTTGTACTTGGGACATCTCAATCTTAAAAATTAGATATATTGGTGCCCCAAATTCAAAAGTGACAGAGTTTTTAAAAAAATATTATATCAGTGTGACTCATTAGTTATCCTTAGGTTAACGTAAACCCAATGAACTAAAACGCAGCATTTTGTAAACAATCAAAACGTAAACAACTAAAACGTTTTGTCCCTCCTAAAACCATCAATCTCTAAACAACTAATTGAGAAATTAAATTTCATTACTTGAGTGGATGACATAGTTGCAGAAGCTATGGAAAGAAAGCCGCAATGACTTAGAGAGGAAGAGGAACAACAAATTGGTAATAAGAAAAAAAAGACAAATAGTTGTTTTTGATTACAAGCTATTTTCAAGATTAAACTACAAAAAATAAAATAAAATAAAATAAGTAAAATTTAGAAAGATACCGAATTTCAAAAATAACAATCATAAAAAGAAAGTAATGAGATTAACAATTCATAAAAATTCAAAAAAAAAAAAAAAAAAAAATCAATCTCTAAACAACCTAATTGAGAAATTAAATTTCATTACTTGGATGGATTGACATAGTTTGCAGAACGCTATGGAAAGAAAAGCCGCAATGACTTAGAGAGGAAAGCAGGAACAACAAATTTCGGTAATAAGAAAAAAAAAAGACCAAATAATGTTTTTGTTTTTAGATTACAAGCTATTTTCAAGGATTAACTACAAAAAATAAAATAAAATAAAATAAGTAAAAATTTAGGAAAGATAACCGAATTTTCAATAAGAACAATCATAAAAAAAAGTAATGAATTAACAATTCATAAAAATGCAAAAAAAAAAAAAAAAAAAAGATGAGAGAGAAATGAAGTTAAGGGAGAAACTGTTGCGTTTTAATTAGTTTTTCTTGGCGTAACTGCTGGGTAAATCAACGCAGCCTCAACTTAATAGTAATATTTTTATTTAAAATTTTATGTCAATTTTGAAATTTGGGTGTCAATATATCTAAATTTCAAGACTGGAGGTGCCCAGAGTATGAAGTTTTAAAAGTAGAGGATTTGCAACAAGTCACAAAGTTCAAAGATATTTTTTGTAGTTTAAGCCTTATTAAAAATTAAAATAAAATTGCCTTTTAAGATATTATATTATATATATTAATTTAATATATATATATATATATATATATATATTATAATATATATATATATATACACACTAAAATTAAAATTCAAAATATATACACACTAAAATTAAAATTCAAAAATAAAAAAATATGTCTTCATCTAATTAAAATTAGAACCCCTTCTTCTTCTTATGATCTGTTTATAAATTGACCTTTATAAATATTCTAATTTATATTTCTCTGTTTATAATTTTCTTTTATCTCATGTTTTTATGTCTATTGATTATATCATGCTTCAGTGTATGAAACTTTTCTATTTCTCTCATTCTTTGTTCTCCTCTTTCTTTTTCCTTTCTATATCACATCTTTTACCTCACATTGATTTTCAAACTTAATTTTTTTTAATAATTCAAACCATACATATATTATTTTTGATTGTGTACTATGTTTTATTATATTACCATGTCTTTTGTGTTGTTTGAAATCTTTAAATTTTGGTTTCCAAGTTATGGAATTTGAATAAATTCTTCTCTAAACAAATAAGGAATTTAAGTAATTTTTATATATATTCTAAAACAAAGTAATTTATATATCTAAACACGTAGTGTTAGATTAATTATTAAAATATATGGTACCTTTTCTTGTTATTGTTTTTGTTTCAAAATGATAGCTATTTTTTTCAAGAGAAAAAGATAACTATTATTAATTATATTTTTAGTATTTATATTTTCCTATTACAACAGCAAGGTATCGCTCCACTGCTGTTGGATTTTTTTTTTCAAAATGATGAGTAAGACGAAAAAAAAAAAGCGATATTGCTCCACTGCCAGTTATTTCTCTCCACCGGAAAGTTCACCATAAACGCAACAATGCCTTATCGCCATCGGATTTCACAGAAGACATTAAATTCGGAGCTAGAAATTAATTCGCCGTTAATGGATTACACACAGTTTGATTCTTGCTCTGGTTTGTACAGGATTGGGTTGTTTAGATGATAAGATTTTGTAGAGAGTTCAAAAGAGATGATATCTGAGGTGTCTTTTTTTATTACTTTTCAAATTTTTATTACTTAAAAATATTTTTAAAAATGAAAAACATGTAATATGCCACCTGGATAATATTTTAATTTTTTAACATGCCACCACCTGTTATCCACCTGGAAATCCGGCGCCAGGAAATCAATTGAAACGGCTAAATGCATTTTAGTGTGTGCCAGGAAATCAATTGAAACCGGTAAAGATATTTTAGTGTTATAAAATTGAAGTTTGAGTAATTTTAAATTACGATTAAGTGTAAAAGTTCAAAGTTGAAGGATCACCTGTGAAATTAAATCGTCAATCTAATTAGAGTTATTTTTGAGTTTCATTTAGGTTGTGTTTCATTGAAACATCATACTCTATGTTTTCTTTTTTTTTTTTTTTTTTTTTTCTTTTCTATGTTTTTTTTTTTTTTTTTTTTTCTTATTATTTATACCACTTTTGCAACGGACAAGTTATTGGCATTGAAGTTGATCCTGAACCTCTTGAGACAAGTTCACTAAATGCAGAGAAAAATGAGGCACAACTGGGGATGGAAATGAGGCAGATACCAACAAATTTTAAATTATCTGTATGTATATCCATTTAAAATTTTATTATTTGTACTCATTTCAAACCCGTTTAAATATTTATATTCATATTTAAATCCGTTTAAATTTTTATTCCATATACTCGTCCAAAACTGGTTTAAAGTACCCTTATTGGGATAGAGTATCCATGAGTCTTAAACTATCAATATCTGAACTTATTTAAAATACAATTTTCACTAATAATAGATAGAATACTCATGAGTATCCACTACCAAAAGGCAAACATGTATCTAAAAACTTATATCCGTATCCTACTCATATCCGTTACAAATAATAATTTTATCGTTTGTATTCGTCTCAAATCTATTTATAATAACCTATATCATTTTTAAGCGAAGCAGAGTGGAATGGGTCCTAAAATACATGCACCGCTTTCATCCATGGGTACAGCTTCACTAAATGCAGAGGAACTTGAGGTGCTACGTTTCTACGTTGATCAATATTGATGCCTACGGATTTAGAAATGCCTAATTGATTTAGAAATGGCTATAGGTACTTTATTGGTGGTTTATTATTATATATTTGCCTGGTGAAATGATTGAACCTGCATTTTTGGACATATATTTTGTTCAATTGGCATTAGGAACTTAGGATGGAGATGTAAGAAAACGAGTGATATTATTTCTTTTTCTTTTATCCACTATTTTTGATAGTTATTTTTTGAATGGTAAAAGAAAAGGGAAAAAACAAATGTTTTCATTCATTTGGAACCCAAAGGAAAGGTAATATAGATTTTCTTTAATGGTGTCATCTGTCTCGTCGATTCGAAAATCTTTTAAACTAGTCATAATTTCGCGCTTTACTTGCGAGTATTCATATGTTTTTAAAATAATTATTAATATTAAATATATTATTATTTTGAAAATTTTTTAATTTGCACTTTATAAATGAAACAAAAAATACAAATTATTGATAATCCTTTAGTTGTTTTATTTGATAAAGTTTTTCATATTCAAATTTCACATTCAGAATGATAGTGAATTAAATATCTCTTATTTTATTTTATTTGGATATATTATATATTTAAATTTGAGTCTCAAATATAAAATTATAAAAATTAAGTATAATGTCAAAATTTGCGTATCTATGCTATTGATTAATTCATAGTTCCATATTTTTTGAATTAGAAAAATTCATTGATATTGTTATTGAAATAAAAATGTAAAGCTTCAATATGTTTTTTTCATCAATATAACTAAATCTTTTTCAAAGTTTACTAAATGTATTCACATCTCAAAATATCAAAAAAAAAAAAAAAATCATATTATTGGCAACATGAAATTAGGAAGCTTTAAGAGTAAATTTCTCATTGGAGATTATCATATTTGGTTACTGTATAAATTTTCTCAATAAATTTTAACGATATCTAATTTATGATATAATAGAATTATCTAAAAGAATTAACCAATAAATAATGAAATTGAGGAAATGCAAAAAGAAATGCAGATCTTCTCTTCAATAGAAGGAAGAAATTTGAAGGTAATGAGATCGAACTTGTAGAAAGACCATGGAGTCAAACAGCAGCCATGAATAGCTATCAAGTGGAGTAAATGATCGCCTGCGGCACAAATATTATGCACTATCAACTCGATCAGATACTTTAACTTAAGATTGTGTTTTTTTATTCTTTGTATAAATGGTTTATTATTAGGCTTCCTATATAAAAATATAGAAACATATTGATCTATATCTCATATCTATATTTATTATTAGGCTTAAGATTGTGTTTTTTTATTCTTTGTATAAATGGTTTATTATTAGGCTTCCTATATAAAAATATAGAAACATATTGATCTATATCTCATATCTATATGCAGTTTTCAATTAATGAAATTTTAGTTTGATTTTTATAAAAAAAAAAAATAATGACACTGACAAAGTTAAAAGTTAATTTACTAATTCAGACTTTTTAGTTTAATTAATTCAGCATATATAATCTAAAAAAGAATAAATTGTAGTTAACTTTACAAAAGAAAAAGTAACTTAATAATTTTTTTCATTCCCTGTAATTTTTATTATAACCATAACTAAAAGGCAATCAATTTGATTTACCAAGGGAGAAGAATATGCATATAATTACTATATGATTTGATTTTAAAATAATCTTTAAAATATTAAATATTAAATTAATTAAATATTAATATGTGGCCAATCAAAATTTAGAAAAATAAAAAATTTAAAATTCTATTTAAAAAAGAAAAATACAATACTAAATGAAGAAAACGCTTTAAACATTCTTTTATTTCAGTTTTCATATAAATATATAGATAATGATTAGACACAAACACATATTGGTATGATTTGATTTTAAAATAATCTTTAAGATATAAATATTAAACTAATTAAATATTAATATGTGGCTAACCAAAATTCAGAAAAATAAAAAATTTCAAAATTCTTGAAAAAAAAAAGAAAAATACAATACTAAGTGAAGAGAACTTATTAAACATTCTCTTTAGTTCAGTGTTCATATAAATAATACAAATAGATATCGATATGATTTGATTTTAAAATAATCGTTAAAATATTAAATATAACATTAATTAAATAATAATACGTGGCTAATTAAAATCTAGAAAAATAAAAAATTATAAAAAAAGAAAAATATAATACTGAATAAAGTGAAGGAGAACGCCTTAAATATTCTTAAAATTCAGAAAAATAAAAAAATCTCAAAATTCTAAAAAAAATACTAAATAAGGAGAACCTTTAAATATTCTTTTTGTTCCAGGTTTCAGGTATGCAGATATATAAACAGATAGATTATTTCAAAAATTTCCAAGTTAACATCAAAATTATTTTTGATGAAAAACTAATAAGCTTATTGTTTATAGTAACATTTCTTATATTAGTTATTTTTACAAATAAATATTTTCAGTTGCATTAGAATAACCCAGAATCAAGTTAGGTCACTTTAATCCAAACTGAGTCAAAAATCATGAAACCAAGTAATCCCAAAACATACCTTTAAAAAAAAAAAAAAAGAAAGTAAACCTTAAAACAAAACCTTTAAAAAAAAAAAAAAAGTAAACCTAAAACAAATCGTTTGAACCAAACCGAAGGGAATCATGTCAACCAGCCCAAACCAGATAAAAAAAAAACAAATTAAAATCTAGGGATGACTACAGTTTGATTTTAAATCGAAATTGAATCGGTCAAAATTGTGGTCAATAGTTCTAGTTCTAAAATCATAATCGAAACCATGAACTTAAAGTTCGGTTTTTGTTCTTCATTTTTAAACCAAAATTGATGATTTTAGTTTAAAACTGAAACTGTGAAAACATGTTCTTAAAAGGACTTTCAACTTTTTTTTTATTTATTATAGTTTTTTAAAGTAATTTTTAAAAATTTTTATTAAATTGATTTTTTTTTGAAAGTAATATTTATTATTATTATTTATTCAAATTACAAATCTTTAAAAAAATATTTTTAAAAGTTTAAAATATATTATTTAATTTCGGTTCAAAATCGAAAAAAAAGTTAAAAGTAATGGTTCTAAAACCGTTTTAGAAACCGTTCGTCTGAAGCGGTTCTACTTTTCTTATAATTGGATAAAACAACCCGGAATTTTATTTTTAAAAATTTTTCATTTAAAATTTTAATTAGTAATTTATTTTTAAAAATTTTTCATTTAAAATTTTAATTAGTAATTCTAAACCAATAACATTGTAGGATACTATATTATTTAAAATTAAATAAATCTAATATCCTACAAATTTATTTAGCAAAATTAAATGCAAATATATTTTCATAGTTAACCAAACCTGCAACTAAATGAAAACTAGTAGAGAACCAAATGAAAAATCGACAAACCATCTAAAACCCATGAAAGAAATGAAAATCACACAAAAACCATGATTTGGACCGAACCCAACCCGAATCAAACCAAACCAAAAATCATAAACCTAAACAATTCTACAAACCCTCCCCCCATCCCATTTTCAGCCCCGACCTCACCCTCCTCCTCTCCTCCTCTCGTTTTTCCGATCACCAGAGACCAGCGCCGCGCCTCGCCGTCGCCTCCTGCTCCTCCCTTCTCTCCTCTCTTTCGTCCCTGGCGTACGCAGAAGGCGCAGGAGAGCCGCGACATCCTTCGATCGGAAAATCGCGTCGAGCCTCCTTCTCCTCGACTTTCCGGCGACGTTGGCCCCTCTCTCGCCGACGAAGAAGCTCCGGTCTCTCCCTCATTCATTGCTTCCCGTTCCGGCTGGCGCAGCGAACCAAGAAGCTGCGATCGCAGCTCGCAGTAGGTACGCAGTCGCGTTATCTGCTCCCCTTTTCGATTTTCCGGCAAGACCGCCACCAGCCGGGGGAACCATCTCCTCCCTTCCTGTCATCTCTTTACTGCACGTCACCGTTCTTTCCTCCGGCCAAATTAGCGACGGCAGAACCAGACCTCGATCATTGAAGCTGTTTCCGGTCACTTTTACCCAAAATATTCAGTTTTCCGACATTTTCGCAACTGAGTAAGTAATTTCCTGCTCCATTCTTCGTGTTTTATGAATTATTTCGACTAAATTGAAGGATTTGAGCCTCGACTAAATTGAAGATTTGAGCCATGTATTATGTTCTTCTGTGAAGAGGTTAGATTTTTTTAAAACTACTGTTTATGCCGAATATTATTGTGGGAGACTGTTTTCTGTGAAGAGGTTAGATTTTAAAACTACTGTTTATGCGAATTATTGTGGGAGAATTCGATATTATCCTCTAATTGAAAACATGAACTGAAATTACATATAAGGAATAAAGGGTTTATTTAGTTATTGCAAATTTTAGTGAGGAAATCAAGGATTTCTCGATAGGACAGCATCTAACCTGGCTATTTGTACGAGTTACATTATAATATGAAGAAAATGGTAATGGACAAAATATCTATAATGAGGAATCAATTGATTAATATGTGGAACATGAGTTTTTGTGAGGATTTGAGAATTCCTACAAACTGGCAGTATATAAGATAGCAGTTCAACCATGAACTGGAAAAAACTTTTTGTTATTCTTTCATTTTTGTGTTGATTTACATGTCTCAGTAGAATCAGTGATAGGATTTGATGATGTTCAAGTTGCAAATCCTCCCTTTTGAGACGATTGGAGCAAAGCCGTAGCTAGTGTTCCTAAAGTTTCTGTCAAGGTGTGATTCGGACAAATTGTTTTCTAAATGTGAAATTAAAAACCAAATTCATAGTCCTTGTAATATTTTCATTAATTTAGAATATAATTTCTAAGATTTGGTGAAGTTGGGGCTGGAGCTGCTGCTGTGAGCAACTAGGGTGTGGCGATGTGAAGCCACGGTGAAGTTAAACTAATATACTATAATGGAATCATAAATTGACATCAGATTGTGAAATTGTTAATTGATTTTATATAATTTTCAGAGTCAGTTGTGAATTTATCGGCTATCAACTATTAGAATTGTACGCGCTACCTTTTGTTATCTTGAGTAGAGTTATAGCATTCCTAAACCTAAAAATCAATATTAGTATATTTGGTAGTGGCTGAGTTTTGTCATTTAACATTACTTGTTTATCGCTAGATGTTTTGACAAACTAAAACTATATATGTGTATTATATATAATGGTGATAGCTTAAGTAATTGGAAGTGAGACTAAGTCGTGGTTATGCTTGTTAGTAAAAACGGTAATTTTATAAGGTGAGATTTAAAAATCATAACTAAACGAGTTCAGAAACCATTCCTAAACAGTCGGTTTTGTCTCAATACATGGCCATAGTAGTTTATAGTGGCAGATATTATTTATTAATTGTAGTTCAAGAAATACAGAAATGTTAGATGTGAATCCCTCTTTAAATGAATATGGATATACTGAATGTAATTCATGATTAACAAATGCTATTAAATAGATTATGAAATATATGCGCAATTGAATTTATATAAAGTACCAGAGACTAAATATATATGGAATTGTCATTATATTGTGAATACTGAATCGAGATCGAACAGAGGTTGATGATGAATTTTCAAGTTGAGAATATTATATTGGCGGATGGGATTAATTAATTTATTAATGCCGGTGGATTGGGCTGTGTGTCTGTATATTAATTTTATGTTCTTGAACAAGTAGACTAGTTCAGTTTTAGGGGAAATTTAGCTGAACAATGACATACTGTGACGAGACGAGTGTTTTAGGCAGAATTTTTATTGCAGGAAAAACTGTTGATTCTTATCTTGGTTTGAATTAAGCCATTGAGATTGTATCTCAGTAATCATGGGTTTACTTTGCAGTTTCTTAATAGATAGGCACTTCATTAAGCTTATCGACAATAGGTCTCATCCTGTTGAAACTGCATAACAGCAGCCTTAAGGTTGAACTTAGCTCTGCTCTGCATTTCTCATTCTCCTCGTTGCCTTCTTACTCTCTTAGATTTATCACGGTTGAAGTCACTATTGCATAATCTTGCTTCTGCCTTTCTCTTTTAATGCTGAATTTATGCTAGCCATCTCTTATGTTTTCATTAATTTTTCTGTTAAGGATTTTGATTTTCCTATTTCCAACAGCCAAATTGTATTTTAGGGTTTAGGCCTGAAATAATAATTTGATCTTTATTTTTTAAACTTTTCTTGTTCCAGAATTTTGTGGTAAAAATAAATTTTCAATTCCAGTCTTAATTCATTTTGTTTCATACCAAAATCAGATGCATGATAGAGTTTGGTTTTTGTTTTTGATTACTATTTTTGTACACCTTGTATATTTTAAATCCACGTTTGTGATTTTTCTTCCTGCTTTCCTTTTTTTTTTTCAAAATCATGATAAGCTTGAATTGTAAATTTCATATATAAGATCATGTTTTTACAAGAGATTGAAAATTTCTTAGGGTTTGCGGGTTTTTGTTATACAGATGACAATGCTTACTAATTACAATCGAGTCAAATGATCTCCACAGTAGTTCATATGCTTGCAGTATGATTCAAAATGATATTTTCGTTCCTTGAATAAAAAATTGCACCATATTTTCTGGTACATGTATTTAGTTTAGACTCTCATGCCTTCAGGATAACAAGTGAATAGAGCTGTATTATATTTAAAAAATCAGGCACTAGATTAGTTTTTTGAATATTTAAGTATTTATTTATATTTATTTTTTAATATGTGAAAGAAATTAATTGTCAATCACTTTTGACATAATGATTATTAGGGCTGTAAATGAGACAAGTTGCCCGTGAGCTACTCGAGGCTTGGCTCGGTAAAAGCTCGCTCGAGTTCGTTCAATAAGCTTATCGAGCCGAGCTCACGAGCTAGCCTTATCGAGCCGAGTCAAGCTCACGAGCTAGCTCAATAAGACAAAATCAATTAAAACCTATATTAAAATGACGTCGTTTTGGTTAATAGATTTCCGAGCTCGAGCTTGAGTATATCCTCATCGACTTGAGTTCGAGCTCACCAAAGCTCGGCTAGTTTACAACCCTAATGATTATCATAGTTTTCTTATTATATTATATTTCTATTTCATAACTATACATCATAATTTAGAATGGATTGAAATAAGTTCTTGAGATCTTAGTTAGTGGGAAACACATCAATTGCCAAAAGTTCCTCCATGAATTATGTTCTTAGTAAGCGTTCATCTCTCATAAAGAATTGTTTGAATTCTTTATTATATATGTTTAGAAGTGCCTGAAATGTTCATAGTCAATTACCTAGATATCAATATATGTGAATTTCTGTTTATAAATTAGAAACAGAGAAGAGTGGAGCACGTCATGGATGTTTATAAGAAGAAAAGAAAGGAAATTAGGGTTGAGAAAATTATTTCTCGAGTTGAGGTTCTTACAAGCATTTGAGTTGTTAATCCTTAAATTTGAGTTAGTGTTTAGGTATAAAGATTGATTGTTTGCTTAACTATACATTGGTTGGGTTTTGAGTGCTCTGGATAGCTCAAAACATTGGAGTCTGTCTCAAATTGCATACCCCTTCATAATACTTGCAGAACTCACTTCCAATCTCTGCATATGTCAGCTAACAGCTGCATAAGGTACTTATATTCTCTGGTTCAGAAAATTTTATTCTTATCTTTATTTTGTAATTTTTAATTTTTTTTTTGTTTGTCCTTGAATTCTGTGAATTAGCTATGTCAAATTAAGTGTTTGTTTATTTCTTTATTTTTTTTCTGGTGGGCTTATTCTCAAGGTTGTTCTGTTGATTTTTTTTATCGCCTAATTTAGCACTTCAGTATATTGAATTATATACTTGAGGGTGTGTTCTCCTAACTTTAATTTTTATTTTATCTTCTTTTAGCATTTTGTTGGAAAAATGGCAATATTAAAAATGATGGTCTGTGAAAGAATGTACTGCTATGGATATAGTCAAATATCATGTTTATTTTTTTTTCTTTTCTTTCTTCCAGTTATTTTAACACCGGCATGACCAATTAAAAGGATATGCCTTATCTTCTTACTTTTCTTTTGTGATATAATTATCCATTTCTATATATTTCTTTTTTCAGACTGCTCTGTTATGCAGTTTCATCTGGATGAGACTGTAGGAATTGTTGTAGAAAAGTTTAATGAAGTGCTTATCTGTTAAGGAACTCTAAATTGTTGTACTGAACTTAAGAATGCCTTAAAAGTATTATTAACTGGCATATTCTAGCGAGAGTAAGACATAAAAGTTATATGTTTGTCTAATTTATTTGTGGACGTGCTTTATGCCGTTTGTCTTCTTACTTTAGGATGGTTCCAAGAGCTGTTCGATCTAAGCTTGACACAGTTATTGACTTAGAAGTTTAAATTGACAGCTTAGAAGAATTGAATATGGAACAGCAGAAAAAAAAGAAACAAAAAACTTAAAATTGTTGGTAAATTTCCAAAATGTGATAGTTACATAACATAACTATGTCATTAACTTCTTGGTTAAACATTGTTGAACATTAATGGATCATTTTTAAAACTTAAAATTGTTGGTAAATTTCCAAAATGTGATAGTTACATAACATAACTATGTCATTAACTTCTTGGTTAAACATTGTTGAACATTAATGGATCATTTTTCACCAGTAATAGTTAAAACACTTTCATTTATTTTCTAATGTATACGCAGAGACAGGGTGGAGAAAGGAGAATGATCAGCGGACAAATGCAGAAATGTCGAAATTTATTGATTTCTAAAGGTCTTATGACACAGAATGTCGTCATTTCTAGCAAGTGTTTCCTACATAATGGTCCAGACAGCATTGAAGAATTACTAGATCGGCATGTGGTGAAGAAAAAGCAATCAGTAGATGATGATGATGAGGAAGAATTGCTGAATCGGCAGCGACTCACCAGTAATCGGAGAGAGGCGCTGCATCTGTATCGAGACATCCAGCGGGCAACACGGTTCTTCATGTGGCCTGATTCACGGGGCGTGTTATGGAGAGATGTGTTGAGGGAGAATGCTAGGAAGGAGTTTGAGGAGGCACGGTTTGAGAAGGACCCAGAAATTGTGACCCGATTGATCATTGGTGGCCGAGATGCTGTGCAGTCAGCTCTTGAGAAACTTGCTGAGAAGCAGAGGCAGCAGATTGAGAAGGAACAGAAGAGCGGTGGAAATCACCGTTGATGAACATATTTTCCCTTTGTTTCATATTTGTGTGTGAAATGAATGTTATGCTATGTATTTACATGTAAATTGCTGCTTGGAATAAGAAAAGGTATATGATATTGAATTAGGATTTACTGGAAAGATTTTTTATTTTCATTATTTACTGAATTAAAATTGCAAAATTGTCAATATTTACCCGCCAAATACTAGCGAGATCCGAGGATGTCCATTCTTCGTATTAGAAAAGGTAGTAGTTGCCAGACAAGAAAAACAACTCAAATGAGATGAAGAGGTGAAGGAAATGGAATGGAACAAGTTAAAAATAGACTTCAATACTCACCCCAACATCAGTAGCCAAAGATTTTTCAAGGCGGCTCAATTCTACTTATTTTTTAGGGTTACCTAATGGAAAAGAGAGATATGTAAAACAATTGGGACTTGGGTATAACAATAGAGTAATACAAGTATATATATACATAGCAAGAGCTAACGCAAAATCTAGTCCATGTTACATCTAAACAAAGAAAAGAAGTTACAAGACAGAAGCCTATTCTCGAGCTAAGAACAAAAAAATCTTTTACAATGAACCCATTTTACGTATAGAAAACATATAACACGGACAAAGTTCTTTAAATCACAAACTAAAAAAGGGATCTCTTTAGCCAAAACTAAATCCAGGCTGGAAACTGAATTTGAATAGTTCATTCGATAATCCTTATCACCCACCCGCAAGTTGAACTAGGGGACGAAACACAGTCAACTTGGATCGATGAAAAAGAAAAGGCTCCTTGAGCAATAATTTTGTAAGAATATCAACTATTTGATCTTTGGAACTAATGTAACGGACAAGCAATTGTCGTCGTTGGACCCGATCACGAACAGCAAAAATCAATTTCCAAGTGCTTTGTCTGAGAATGAAAGACTGGATTTACTGTAAGATAAGTAGCACTAAGATTGTCACACCATAGTGTCGGAGGTTTAGACAAAGACGTGCCAATCTCACGAAGCAAAGATTGTAGCCATACTAACTTATATGCGGCAGAAGCAATGGCATGATACTCCCTTCAGTAGAAGACTGAGAGACAGCCACTTGCTTTTTGGAACTCCAAGGAATCAAATTGCTGCCAACAAATATAGCATAACCAGTCGTTGACTTGCGGTCCTCAAGACTACCCCAGTCAGCATTAGAATAACCATTCAATAAGAATATGTTAGACTTTGGAGATAAAAAGAACATTATCAATAGTACCATAACGGAGAAGACACTTGGTAGCCTGCCAATGTTGCTTAGTAGGGCAATGCATAAACTGAGATAATTTGTTCACGGCAAAGGAAATGTCTAATCTCGTGAAGGTCAAGTATTGAAGACCAGCAATGATGCTTTGAAAAAGAGTGGGATCGGAAAAGGAAGCACTATCACCGAGACTCAACTTTTCAGTGGGAGAAATAGGATTCGAAACTGGTTTACAGTTGTCCATGTTAGCTCGACGAAGTTCTCCAATATATTTGGTTTGACAGAGTCGCAAACCATTTTTATGCCAAATAACCTTAAATCTAAGAAAATCATGCAGCCGGCCAAGATCTTTTATTGGGAATCGTTGTTGTAATTGAGATATCAGATTAGAAATTTTGCAGCTTGGTGATTGCCCATGACAATGATATCGTCAACATAGATAAGACATTAGATAGTAAACGAACCTAGAGGAAAATAGTATATAGAGGTATCAGTTTTAGAATCTTTAAAACCAAGGCTGTAAAGAACATCAGTTAAACATTTGTGCCACATCCTGGGAGCTTGTTTAAGGCTATAAATTGATTTTTTCAGGCAACAGACATGATCAGGAAGACGATTGTTAACGTAACCAGATGGTTGTTGCATAAACATAAGAGTATTAAGAGAGCCATAAAAAAATGCATTAGAGACATCCAATTGTTTGACGACCCAATCTTGTTGAACAATAATAGAGCCGAATTGTTGATAGCTTAACAATTGGATTTAAAGTTTTGGTGAAGTCTACGCCTGGTCGTTGATGAAAGCCTTTCACCACAAGGCGTGCTTTATGTCTGTCGAGGGAACCATCAGATTTTGTTTTAGTCTTGAAAACCCATTTAAAACCAATGACATTATGAGTAGAAGAGGATGGTACCAAATTCCAAGTATTATTTGCAAGTAAGGCATTATATTCCTCAGTTATGGCTTGACCCCAATGAGCATGTTTAGAAGCTTGAGTGTAACTGGTAGGATCATTTGGTAAGGAAAGAGAAGCAACCAGAGAAAGGGGCTGCTTGTTTGAAATTTTTATTTTAAGAGCGGGTTATCATTGGATATTGTCGAGTTGGTGCAACATTTACAGAGTGATCTATTGAGGATAACTCTCTTGGACCAAGTCAAACTAGTTAGTTTTTGATATTTGATTTTGTTTAACTGTAAATAGTTTAGATATTGTTTTGGAGATTTTCTATATTTCAAATGTAATCTGTAAACTCTATAAATATGTATCTTGCTTCCTTGAATAATATAACAAACATTTACACAAGCAATCTGATCCAATTGGTTTGGAGATTTTCTATATTTCAAAATGTAATCTGTAAAACTCTATAAATATGTACTTGCTTTTGAATATATAACAAACATTTACACAAGCAATCTGATCCTTTCATGGTATCAGAGCCCAAAATACTCAAACGACTTTTTTTCTTTAGATCCTACAATAGCTACAACTCCTCAAGTTGCTTCTACAACAATTCCCGTTAATTCCCAAAATACTCTGATTGCCATCAATGCTGCCACTCAGCTTCCGCTTAAATTAACCACCCTTAACTATCCCTCATGGCGGGCTCAGTTTTACGCCCTTTTAATTGGTCTTGACCTCACTGGCTACATTGATGGCGCGTTGCCATGTCCACCCTCCACCCTCACCAATGGCGAAACTGTTTCCGTCAATCCTGCTTATGCTCTTTGCAATCTCCACCCTCCACCCTCACCAATGGCGAAACTGTTTCCGTCAATCCTGCTTATGCTCTTTGGTTTCGTCAAGATAATCTTCTTCTTCATGCTATTTTAGCTTCTGTTTCTGAATCACTGGTTATTCTTATTTCTTCGTCAAAAACATCAGCTGAGGCTTGGAATAAGCTAGCCTTATGCTTTGCGAATAAGTCCCGTTCTCGAGTCATGCATCTCAAAGAAAGACTCTCACAGCCTCGTGGCACCAAATCTGTTTTTGATTACCTTCAATCTCTTAAATCCACTGCTGATGAGCTTGCTCTCATTGATAAGCCTTTATTTGATGATGATCTCACTATTCACATTCTAAATGGTGTTGGATCCGAATTTCGAGAACTAACCACTGCCATTCGAGCACGGGAAACACCCATTGTTTTTGAAGAACTACATGAAAAACTCTTGGACTTTGAAAATGTTCTTAAAAAAGAAAATTCCCCTGAAATTTCCATTCAAGCCCATGCTACAAGACGCAATTACCAGCCCCGAAATTCTTTTCAAAACAATGGCAACAGTTTCAATCAATCTAGAGGACAATCCTCTCGTTCTTCTCAACCACGCAACAATGGAGAATTGCAAATTCATTGTCAGTACTATGATCGGTTTGGTCATTCGGCCAAAGATTGCTTCAAGATAAAAAACGATCAACTCCAAATCCAACTAATAATGCCACAATGACCTCGAATCCCAGCTCCTCCCCCTAGCTTCTTGATTCTACAGCTTCCCATCATGTCACAAGTGATCTTGGTAACTTGTCTGTTCATTCCGAATACACAGGCCTTGACGAAATACTTATTGGTGATGGCTCAGGTTTGAATATAACACACACAGGACAAACAAATCTTAATCATTCTTCTCTCTCCTTCACATTATCTGATGTTTTATGTGTTCCTACCATGAAAAAAAAATCTAATCTCTGTTGCCCAAATTTGTTTTTCCAACAATGTTTCCATTGAATTTTTTCCTTTTCTTTTTAAGGTGAAGGATCTCAACACGGGGGTGCCTCTCATTCAAGGGAAGAATAAAGATGGCGTGTATGAGTGGCCTATGGCGGCTCGTTCACTGTTCACCACACCTGTAGCTGCTGCTAGTGTTGTGGTCAACTGGCATCATCATCTTGGTCACCCGTCTACCAAAGTTCTGTCTCATTTGTCAAAAAATAATTCCTTTATTATCTCTTCTAGTAATTCATTTTGTAAGTCTTACTCTTGTAATAAAAGTCATCGATTACCTTTTGGGGAATCGTCGTTATCGTTCGTCCAAATCACCTTTAGATCTTGTGTATTCTGATGTCTGGGTTCCTGCCCCTATTAATTCAATTGATGGTTTTCATTTCTATGTTATTTTTGTAGACCATTATACTCGTTATACATGGTTATTTCCAATTAAACACAAATCTGATGTTTCGTCTATCTTTCAAACATTTAAAGCTCAAGTTGAAAAACAATTTCAAAAATCTATTGTTCGTCTCTACATAGATGGAGGTGGTGAGTTTCTAGCTCTCAAATCTTTTCTTGCCGCCCATGGTATACAACATTTACCCATGGTATACAACATTTACTTACTCCTCCTCATACGCCACAACATAATGGCATTTCTGAAAGGAAACATAGGCACTTAGTTGAGACTGGTCTCACTTTACTACAAACAGCTTCGCTTCTTGTTCACTTTTGGTCCTATGTTTTTCAAACATCTTGTTACTTAATTAATCGTCTACCTACACCAGTACCCTCTATGTCTTCTCCTTATGAGAAACTCTTTCAAACTTCCCCAAATTATTTAAAAATACGGGTCTTTGGTTGTCTTTGCTTTCCTTGGCTACGGCCATATACGCGTCATAAATTACAACAAAAGTCGTTTCCGTGTATCTTTTTAGGTTATTCTTCTACTCAAAGTGCCTATCTTTGCTATGATTTTAAAACTGGAAGAACATACGTTTCTAGACATGTGAATTTTGAAGAGTCCATCTTTCCTTATATCTCTCATAATTTAAGTCTCCCACGTGTTGCTAACTCTTAAAGCAATTTAAGTCTCCCACGTGTTGCTAACTCTGCTAAGCCTTCTTGGCTAAATTCCATTACCCAAACTCCTTCCTTTTATCATGTTCCAGTTAACCACGGCACTACATATTTACAACAGG